GGCAGGAAGGAAAAATGGGCATTTTTGAAGGCTCATATTTCAGTGAATAATTTTTTTCAGACAATGGGAGTTGGAACACATCATTAGTATGGTCAGGCAATCATATTAAGCAAATAAAAAATACATCAAAAATGCATTGAACTTACCCTTTAAGCTGATTCCAACAAAAGGAAGCGTAACAGGGTAAAAAATATTCCTATAAATGATTTCACCACCTTGCAAGTACAACTTGGTCACTATTAAGAGTTATAGAGGTTCTCTCTACCTTCTAATGCTTCTAGAGAAGTCTTTAGACAGTATCTCTATGCTCTCTTGCTGTTAGAAAGCTCTTAACTTTGTCCCATGTGTAAGCCACAAGCCCACAATTTTGTTTGCCGTGACCACACCCACTCACGTAAAGGAGTGTGGGCGGGTGGTTGCTAAGGCTTGTTATTTCTCCAATACAACGTGTATAGAAGAAATGTAAGTGTGGACATACAAATATATATATATACAAACATCACAAGTGGGTGAATTCAATTATAAGAACGACCTGGGGGCATAGCCCCCAGGTTGTTAAAAATTAATTTTGAAATATGCAGCAATTTTAAAAATAGTAAATTTTCCGAAAAAAAGCAAAAGCTAAAAGCACGTGTTCTTTTCCAAAAATGGCTCAAAAACCACCTAAAAATTTTATTACATTCTCTGATACATATTGATGTCCTTATACTGTGTAGAAAGTTTGAGCTGATTCCAACTTAAATTTTTCAGGGTACGGCCATTTTATAAAATATGCCAATTTCTGAAAAAATCCCTGTACTTATAGCCCATAGTTTTTTCCAAAAAAGGCTCAAAAATCACGCCCAATTTTTATTAAATTTTCTGATACATATTGATGTACTTATGCTATGTATACAAAGTTTGAGCTGATTCCAACTTAAATTTTTAAGTAACGGCCATTGTAAAAAATATGCCAAATTCTGAAAAATTCCCTGTACTATAGTTTTTTCCAAAAAATGGCTCAAAAATCACCCCCAATTTTTATTAAATTTTCTGATACATATTGATGTACTTATGCTATGTACAGAGTTTGAGCTGATTCTGAATTAAATTTTTCAAGTTATGACCATTTAAAAAAATATACCAATTTCTGAAAAAATCCCTGTACAAGTACATTGTACATGTACAGGGATTTTTACATTAATTTTTTTGGCATTTTGCAATCAAAATTTTCAATAGTGAAATGTTTAGTAATACATGCGTGGACAAATTTGCCAATTAAAAGCTGGCCTAATGTATTTTTGAAGCAAAACCATCTAAATAAAGTACTACTAAATCACAAAACAGTCACATGATTTCAATTACCTGATTGAGTCACTCCAGAGTGAAGTACATGGCAGAGCAGGAGGTGGAGAGAGGCAGGTATTACTGGGAGACTCTCTCAACTTCAGCCATTACAGTATCAGTCTCCTCCATCTTCCTCTGAACTTCTGCAGCCTCTTCCTTAAGAGTCTCAAGCTCAGTAATGATTCTAAAAATAGACACAAAAAAGATTACATCATGTAATAATTGTTACTATATTTAGATGTATTGTTACAATTATTTGTGATGATTCTAAAAAAATACATCAATAATTACACATGTAATAGTTGTTACTATATTTAGATGTGTTGTTACTATTATTAGAAGTTACTACATGTATAATTAGAATTGGGGATACCTGTTGTCGTCTAGGATAGGACAGGGTTCAGGATTGGGTCATAGCTCTCAGCATCCTAGAGGAATTGAGTATGAAATAATGAGAGTGTTTCCTGACAGGGTTCTTAGTTCTAAAAAAATCCAAAAATATTCCCACGCTGTTGGAAAAAATTCAGAAAAATTCCAAAAATAAAAATAAAATAATTCACAAATATTTCCATGATCTCGTAAAAAATCAGAAAAAATTCTAAAAATAAAACAAAAATAATCCAAAAATATTATAACACTCATAATAAAAAATTCAAAAAATTACAAAAATTAAATTTAAGAAAGCTAAAAATATTCTCATGCTGCAAAAAAAATCAGAAAAAATTCGAAGAATATAATAAAACTATTCTAAAAATATTTCCATGCTTGGAAAAAAAGTTAGAAAAATTCCAAAAATTAAATAAAAGAAAATCCGAATGAATTCCCACACTCATGAGAAAAAAATACAAAAAATTCCAAAAATTTAATAAAAAGAATCCAAAAATATTCCCACGCTCTCAAAAAAATAAGAAAAATTAAATTAAACTTTGTACACAACATAAGGACAAATACGTGTATATATATCAGAAAATATTACAAAAACTGAGAATTCTCTACTTTTTAAATTTGGCAAAATTTAGCTAACACCCCTGTACTATAGTACAGGGACTTTGACCCAATTTTTGAGCAACTTTAAAAATTCATAAAAAATTCAAAACTTCAAATCCAAACTTTCTACAAATATAATTAATAATTAAATATAATTATATAATTAATCTGTCTCATCCATTCAATATTAAATACTGTCCCACACACACATAAGTGTGTTTACATTTACATACATGTATGTACGAGTACCTTGTAGTGATAATAACAATTATTATAGTTTTATTAATTATTTAATTACATTATTAAATTACAATGATTTGTAATTATCATCAACACAAACATGTACAAATGATGCAGTTACACAGCATGATTACAATAGCCAGTTATAACATTGTACAAACAAACATCTACCACTCCCCAAACTAGAGGCATTCAATGCCCACTACAACATATTCAAACAATAAAACCACACAGTATCATTACAATAGTACTATACTGCCAATAAATACAGTATAGTGCTTTATTTTGGTGATTTGGCTATAAAATTACATGTATAATTGGCTGATTTAATTTGGCAATTTTGTGTACACGTGCATTACTGAGCATACACTGTACTCATTAATGATTGGCGGTTTTAACATTGACAATTCCACTTGCAGAATCCCAATTGCCAAAAAACGCCCAATTAAAGTGCTATATGGTATACTGCAATACAAAAATGTATCCCTCCCAAATAATACAGTATTCAATGCCCACTACAGCATACTGTACCTGTGAGACAGTGGTTTCCT